TGATGTATAGTTCTATGAATTTTAACACATGTATAGATTCATGTAACCACCATTAAAACATCTTTACACAACAGATTTTAAATGTTTTTAATGCGGGCGCCTGGGTGGCTCAGATGGTTAAGCGTCTGCCTTTGGCTCAGGTCATGATCCCAGAGTCCTGGGATCAAGTCCTGCATCGCCTGCTTCTCCCTCTGCCTCTCTGTCTCTTATGAATAAATAAATAAAATCTTCAAAAAAAATAAATGTTTTTACTGCTTAAATATTTTAAGGGGGGAGATGTAGAAATACTGGCTTTTTCTGTTCTTTTTCATTAAAAGAAATTATAATGAAGATACAGTGAAATTCACTCATGTTAGTGTTCAGTTCCTTGAATTTTAACAAAATATCATGTACCCACCAACACAGTCCTATATAGCTCCTGGCAACCACTGATCGGTTTTCTTTTCTCTGGTTTTGCCTATTACAGAATGCCTGTAAATGGAATTATACAATAACTTTTTGAGTATGGCTTCTTTCACTTAGCATAACATATTTGAGATTCATCCATGTTATTGCTTGTATGAGTAGTTTGTTTCTTTTTATTGGTGAGTTCAGTGGTTCATTGCATGTACCATAGTATTTTATTTATTTTTTTAGAGATTTTATTTATTTATTGGACAGAGAGAGACACAGAGAGAGAGGGAACAGAAGCAGCGGGAGGAGAGGGAGAAGCAGGCTTCCCGCTGAGCAGGGAGCCCGATGTGGGGCTCGATCCCAGGACCCTGAGATCATGACCTGAGCCGAAGGCAGATGCTTAATGACTGAGCCACCCAGACGCCCCTGCGTGTACCATAGTATTTTAATCTATTTCCCAATTGAGGGACATTTGATTAGTTTCCAGACATTTACAAGACAGGATTTTGTATAAACATAAATTTTTCCTTTTACTTGGGTAAATACCTGGGGACAGTATTGATGGATTTTGTTAAATGTGTGTTTATTTATTTTTTTAAGATTTTATTTGAGAGAGAGAAACAGCAGGGGGAGGAGCAGAGGGGGAGGGAGAGGGAAAAGCAGACTCCTTGCTGAGTGTGGAGCCCATGGGGGCTTGGTCCCATGACCCTGAGATCCTGACCTGAGCCGAAACTAAGAGTCGAAACTAAGAGTTGGCTGCTTAACTGGGTGAGCTACCCAGGTGCTACCGTGTGTGTTTAATTTTTTTTTAATGTGTCACTCTGTCAAATAAATAAATCTTTAAAAAAAATTTTTATGGAGCACTTGGGTGGCTCAGTCAGTTAAGCGTCTGCCTTCAGCTCGGGTCATGATCTCAGGGTCCTGGGATCAAGCCCCACATCGGGCTCCTTGCTCAGTGGGGAGCCTGCTTCTCCCTCCCCGTCTACCTTCTGTTCCCCCTGCTTGTACTCTTTCTCTCTTTGTCAAATAAATACATGAATAAAGTCTTTAAAAATTTTTTTTATAAGAAACTGCCAAACTTTTCTAAAATGGCTGTACCATTTTACATTCCCACCATCTGTGAGAGTTCCCAAGCAATTTCAGCAACACTTAATATTTTAAGTTTCTTTTTCTTTAAGCCATTTTAATAGATGTGTAGTGGTATCACCTTGTGGCTTTAGTTTGCATTTCCCTAATGATTAATGATGTTGAGTGTTTATTTACTGTGTGTCATCTTTGGTGAAATGTGTTTAAATCTTTTGCCTGCTTTAAAATTGGGTTTTCTTATTAATGTGTTTTGAAAGTTCTTTGTGTATTTTGGGTATACAAGTCCTTTATCAGGTATGAGAGTTGTGAATACTTTCTCCCACTCCAGTTTTTCAATTTTTTTTCTTTTACAGGTTGTGCTTTTGGCGGTGTAGTTTAAGAAACCTTTGTCTAGCCCAAGGTCACAGAGATTTTCTCCTATATATTTTCTTCTAGAAACTTTATAATTTTAGGTTTTACATTTTTTTTAAAGATTTTATTTATTTATTTGACAGAGAGACAGCGAGAGCAGGAACACAGCAAAGGGAGTGGGAGAGGGAGAAGCAGGCTTCCCGCGGAGCAGGGAGCCCGATGTGGGGCTCAATCCCAGGACCCTGGGATCATGACCTGAGCCGAAGGCAGACGCTTAACGACTGAGCCACCCAGGCACCCCTTAGGTTTTACATTTAGGTTTGCAATATGTTTTGGGGTTTGTTTGTTTTTTTTTTTACTATGGTGTGCAGTATGGGTTGAGGCTCATTTTTTTAATTTTACATATGGATACTGTTCTAGCAGTATCTACAGTTCTAGCACCATTTGTTGAAAATACTATTATTTCTCTATGGAATTATCTTTGCACCCTTGTTGAAGATCAGTTAATAATAAAAGGATGGGTCTTTTTCTGGACTCAGACTGTATTATTAATCCTGTTTTGTACTGTGTCTGATAGATCCAGAATTATTTGAAAACTTAGCTGGCTGTGTTTAGAAATTTGTTAAGCATCTCATTTGGAACTTGTTGTTTGTAATCTACAGATGAATTTTCTAAAATGCCTAAGTCTGGGGCACCTGGCTGGCTCATTTGGTAGAGCACGCAACTCTTGATCTCAGGATTGTAAGTTTGAGTCCCACATTGGGTATAGAGATTAATTAAAAAATAAATAAAATCTTTAAATGATTTTAAGTCTACAGATGAAAGGATTTTGCTAATGATTCATTATCTATTTGGAAAATTTTGAGTGATTTTTTTTTTTAAAGATTTTATTTATTCATTTGAGACACAGAGATACAGAGAGAGAGAGAGCATGAGCAGGGAGAGAGGCAGAGGGAGAAAGAGAAGCAGGCTTCCCACTGAGCCAGGAGCCCGATGTGGGGCTCGATCCCAGGACCCTGGGATCATGACCTGAGCTGAAGGCAGATGCTTAACCATCTGAGCCACCCAGGCGCCCCTTGAGTGATTTCTTATGCAGTAAGGATGAACTAGAATGGCTTTTCCTAGATATCCATATTCTTTTTTGTAGAGTTACTTGGTAGTTCTCTCATAATATTTGCAAGTGTTTGTGCTTTTATTATATCATCTTTATAGTGATAAATTTGGGGGCAGTTCTCTTTTGATTTAAAACATGGTTGTCCTAAGTTACTCTAAAGTTACTTACAAAATAGTATCCAATTATTGTTGATAGGATGAGATTTTATCTTTAAATCATATAGAGCAGCTGTGGAGTGAAAGAATTACTAGATTTAGTGGGACATTGTTCTATAATGTGAGGTTTTTTAGTTACTCTAAGTATTTGGATGTTTATTATTTGGGAATTTTGAAGCGCTTTGCAATTAATACCTTGTAAGTAACTGTTTCAAATCATTTAAATGTTGCTTTATAAGTTAAAAGAAGAGTCAAGTATTAATTTTAAAGAGATTGTTGGACAGAATATTATAGATAAGTCCTTTCAGGGTTTATAGCTATTTTTTTCATTTTTAGTATTTGTTGATGATTGCTTTTCCTCATTCTTGGAATGCCTGATCTTCAGTTTTTAGGATTTGCTTTTCTTCTTTGGAAAACCCATTCCTCTTACTCCTTTCTTTTGGATAGACTCTACTGCACAATTTTTATTTTTATCATTTTTATTGTGATAAAATACAATATAAAAGTACCGTTTAAAGTATTTTAAAGTATACAGTTCAGTGGCATTAAGTACATTAACAATGTTGTATGACCATTATCACCACCACTAATTCCAGAATTTTTTTACCACTACCACACAATTTTAGCACCTAATTGTTCTCTTATTTTAGCCACCATTATTTTTAGGGTTATAAAAGATAAGTAAGATTTAGTTTTGTTCGTAAGGACTTTATAGTCTGATGAGGGAAACAAGTAACCTAGTGTTAGTGATACAGTGTGGCAGATTATATGTTTTAGATCTGTATTGTTAAGTTTTATTTATTCAACTAAAATTTTACCTTGAAAAAGTAAAGTAACTTTTTGTTAAGTTAACATTCAAATTGTCCTGAATTAATGTAGGCTCTTTAGTCTTTTGGTTTAGGTCAATTCAGGACTCACAAATCATCATGCCCTCTTTTGTAACAAAAAGGGACCCAGAAAATTGGTATTCTGATTTAAAGCCAAATTATGAGCTCTTCTTTTCTTTTTTTTTTTTTTTTAAGATTTTATTTATTTATTTGAGAGACAGAGAGAATGAGAGCGAAAGCACATGAGATGGGGGGAGGGTCAGAGGGAGAAGCAGACTCCCTGCTGAGCAGGGAGCCCGATGCGGGACTCGATCCAGGGACTCCAGGATCATGACCTGAGCCGAAGGCAGTCGCTTAACCAACTGAGCCACCCAGGCGCCCTGAGCTCTTCTTTTCTAATGGAGGAGGGAGATCAGAGAAAAACCATGATTAGAGAGAACTTCCTAGTTGTCTGCACCTCTCCTCAGTTGAACTGTTTTGACTTATTCTAGTTGCAGGGACTGCTTGCTTGATTATAGTCAAATATGGCATTATACAGACATGTTTATCTCTCTTGGCAGATCATTTGAGGAATAGCTGTACTCGGAATAATATGTCAAGAGATTGTGTTTTCGAATTCCTTGAAACTTGGGAGTTAGCGCTTAATTTAAAGTTGAATGCTTTAGCAGTTTTGTTAAAAGCAGTGTTATCAACATTGGACAGTATTGTAATATAGGGTTTTTTTCTATTACTTATTTTCTTTAGTACAAGATTGTTTATGAAAACATGGATGTTTGTTTTTAAGATCCTGCAGTCTTCATAATGTAGTCTGTCTGAGAAGTTGTTGATAATCCCAAATGCTTTTGATAGTATTTTAGTTAGCAATTTCAGTGTTTGCTATAGGAAGAATTCATATTACTAGGCCTAGACTCCTCTGATAAATTATTTTTATAGATTTAGAAAAATCTGAATTTGTGGCACAGTTTGTCTACTGAAAAAGAATGAAAAGTTGAAAATAATCCCTAGTTTAACTAGATTACTAATAATTTTGGCATTTATTACTTTTGAAAAATAACTGTAGTCTTGTTTTTTCAGGGTAATCACTTTGATCAGTATGAAGAAGGACATTTGGAAATTGAACAAGCATCACTTGACAAGCCTATAGAATCGGTAAGATGATCAATGCTTAATTTTGGGTCATAGTTAGTTAGGTAGTGTTCGTGTGACACTTGATGTGAATGAATTTAAACTTAATTTACAGTACAATTTAGAGCTTTTTTTTTTTTGCATGCCCTACAATAATCAAATAGAGTTTGGGATGTAATCTAATATTTATATTTTGGGAAATCAGTCTGAAAAATCTAGAAACAAGTTAGAATTTGATGGAAAAATATCATTTTGGCCCATACTGATATTCTGTTAAAGATAGCAAGTTAAAGTTAAAGTTTAGTGTTTTTGTAAATTGAATAAAGGAGTAAAATGTATTTTGATCCTTTAAAAGCTTCACCTTTCTTGGGCAATGCAATCACATGTGAAATGTTCCATTATTAATAGTTAAGGACTAATATATTTACCAGACACTTGTGAAAAATGACAAGTTTGGTAGCTTAAGTAGATGTCTGGTTTTTGTGAAAAACTGATTCTTTCTCTTTACATGGCTTAGTTTTGGATATTGATATAAGTAATAGAACAAGGAGATTTATTTTTCTGACGTAATTTTTTTTTAAATCTTAATTTTTAAACATTTTCATTTTGAAAAGCCCTTTATTTTTAAATTACACAGTTAATTGTTAAAATGTCTAAACTTGTCAGTATTGTCAGTATTTAATATTTGTGCGTAAGTGTACATATCTTAATAAGGGTTTCAGTGAGTTATTGGTAAACTTGAGTGAAAATGATCAAAGAGGAAATCTTAATCTTTATAGCAGTCAAGACATCTCCCCTCTCCTTTTAAGAAACACTAGCTTTTTTCCTCCTCCCTCAGGAAAATAAGGCAGTATAGAGAGAACAGATATTTTAACTCTAGTTTTTATTTCCAAAACTGTAACATAGTAAAGGATCAACATATATTTATGTTCCTAATTAGGTTGGTGTTGTGTGTGTGTTTGTGTGTGTGTTTAGATGTTTACGGAAATTTACACAACTTGGGGTGTTCGACATTTTTCTTCCACAGCAGTTGGCCCATATTAGCTAAGCAGCCATGATCTGGTTTGTATTGCACGGTCTGCCTTTTTTTAATTTCTTCTCTAGGGTTTCTTTCTCCCCCACCTCCCCTTCTTATTTCTGTTCTTCTGGTCCAGTGAACACTGCATATAGTACCTTCTGTCTTAATGTGCTGGCATGATGCTAGACTTAGGCATGGCAGTAATTGATGACGCATGTGATAATGCTGCAGAGGGAGAATTCATATCTGATATTGTGCTGAAAGCCCAGTCTTGTGTTTTGATTTGAGGATAAAATGCCAAGTCCACATTGCTAAGTTAAAAATCACTGAAGTTTGTGCTTTGTTCCATATCATCTTGGGAATTATCACAAGGCAGAATTTTACAATGAAGTCTGTAAGCTAGCTAGATTAGTATTTTGTACTTGAAAAATAATTTAATTTTTCCATTTTATTTAAATGTTCTTTGGGTCGTAGTTTAAGAACAGATAACTATCAGAAGCAAGACCCAAGTACCATATCTACAAGGTACATGGCTAATATTCTTAAATAAGCTATAATTCTGTGTGTACTCTGACTCAACAGTTGTAGGAAATTTAATTAGACTAAATTTGCAGCTTAGTATTCATTATTACTATATTCAATAAAGATTTTTTTTAAAAAAAACTCTAATATTTAACATTTCTAAAGCATTTTAGGGCCACATTTTAAAGTTTTTGGAAAATTCCTTCCTTTGGTGTTTGAGGTGTTAACACTGTTTTTCCTCTTACACTGTCCAGGATTTTTTCCAGCATATGTCATAGGAAGAATTCTATCAGAAGACAGTCTGACTGAGTAATCCTTGTTGAGTAATCTGAGAGAGTAGGAGTGGAATTGATATATGCTCTGTTTATTGAATAGTGTTATCTTCTCCACTTAAAATAATGAATGGTATCGTAATCAGACTGGATATTTATTTATTTTTATAAATAAGTGTATGTTCAGAGATACATATTAATATTATACTTACAATGAAAATTTACTCCTGAAACAAACAAATAAATAAATATTGATGTGGTAGTTTAGGTAGTAGGAGGAGGAGCTTCATAGTCTGCATTGTGTTAGATAGAAGTGGGGACACACAACAGGAGGGATTTTATTTCTCTTACCAAATCACTTGGGGACAAATTGAAAGTTTTTAAAGAAAGGTTTTAAAGAAACTTTTGCTAAAACAATTGGCATGGAAGTTGGTACTGTGGTATCAATTCCCCTCTTCCCCTCCTCCCCCCAAAAGGAAGTGCCCTGTTGCCTAAGGAATGCCCACCAAATAAATATATTTTAGTTACATGGCTGGCTGGCTATATTGAACTCTCTTGTTCTTAGGGGGAAATGGCATTGCTTCTCACACAGAGTCTCTGCTGAATTAAAATCTTTCTCTGCAGCAATATCTATTGAGAGGTGCTGACTGTTTTGCTACAGCATGCAACTCAAAAGTGGCTGGAAATATGCAGCTTTGGGAGTCTACAGATCATTGCAGGAGCTAAAGGTCTAGTCATTTTTTTTTTTTTAAAACAAAGGTAATCTGCAGCAGCTGGTAACCGTGGAAGTCTCTGCACAGGTTTGTGCCAAGAAATATGCCTGTGTGAAGGGTTATTGTGAGTATAGGATTAAGGTCCTTTCCTTTGGTAATAGGGTAAATTTGTTGCAAACTGGCAAGATGGGGAATGAAATACAAAGACTCAATAATGCATTATGCTTTTAGTAAACTTCTGAAGCCTAGATTTGTTAGTTTGATGATACAGGTATTTCCCTTTCAATCAGGAAGTGTGGAAAACACCTCAAAATCCAGCATTTATAAAGTATTTCATAATCTTTGTTAAAAAGTTTTATTTCCCCTGCTTTATTTCAACCAACCAGGTATCTTTCAATGAAATTTTTGGTCAGGAATAAAACTTTGTTCTAAGAAAATTATGAAAGAATTGCCAGACAACTTGATTATCTGGATTCAGAGAAGATGGAAAGTATTAATGTTTTTTACCTTTATTACAAAAAAACTTTTTAGGACTTGAATTTTAAGTTACTGCTTAGTGATTTTTTAAGTCCCAGCCATTATAATTATATGCGCTTTCTTAATAAGGATAAAATACTTAGAAAACAAAACTTAATCTAAAGCTATAGCTCAGTCTAGAGTTCCAAGAACTGGTTGGTGTGATTTAGGATATATGGTTTTTTATGACCTTCGTCATCGATATGAGAAATGAGATGGGGGCATGATTGTAAGCTGTACAGAAACAAAATACCTGCATCATAGTAAAATATGTTGTCACAGTTGCAGTTGGAAGTAAAACTACCATCAGCCATTAGTTGGTCTTTGTTTTACCTAATAAAAATCCCGTCTTTATAGTTCTTAGGTTGACAGAACAGTTTTAAAAACTTAATGTAAGTTTTCAAACTCCAGTTGCTGATGTTTACTTTGCTCATGTAGGGATTTGGAAGTATATGTATAATTGAGTTTTGTCATGTTGCATATCTGTTTAGATCTGTGGACTCCACTAGTTCCAAACTGTAATATAAGACTGCTGATTTGACATTTAGCAGTGACCATATGTGGACTGCACTATAAATAATGTGCTTCTTGGAGCTGAATGGTGTAGCATTACTATATGGCTTTTCTCTCTGGTCTTCATTGTGTCATCTGTAGTGAGCTATAGATTTTTTGTTTCGGGAATTTTTACAACTTGTTGTTTGCATGGGTTCACCTAGTAGCATTTGGTTTTTGCTTATAGAGTCTTTTAATACACAATCAGCAAAGCTTACAATCCACTCAAGAGACTTACTGTTTTTGTCACTGTTGAAAATGGGCTAAATGGTGTAAATTGAATGTGGCTGTCAACTAAAAGAAAATTGAGTGTGGAGTTAATATTCGTCCAGTCACTGACATAATTGTAGTATAGTTTTCTCTTGAGACATGATATTCTATTTCCTGCTATAAAAACTGGAATCAGCCTCTTATAATAAAGTAAAATTTTCTCTGTGTTTTGGCAGGGTCCCATTATACAGATTGGTGGTGCTGTTGCCAAAATGGTCATTGTTACTGTGATGGAATATAGCTTTATGGAGTAGAGAAAATTTCTTGGGAAAAGTTTCTACTTGGTAGTTAATAAATACAAGTGTTGAGGAATGGCTGAAACAATAATGAGGTTTTTTTGTTGTTTTTGTTTTTTCTGGTATTGTGTTTCAGCATGTTGATAGTTTATAATACTTAACATTTCTTGCTTTCAGAGATCTTCCCATTTAAAAATTATATTCTCCTTTCTTACACATATAATAGAAGGGAACAAAGGGTAAAAATATAACATTTTAGTTATATATTTAACTTTAGAAATAGAAAAGAAAAAAGGCCAACTGACATAATAGGTGTAAAAAAGTTTGGGTTTTCAGTTCAGTTTCATGGTTTGACCAGAATTAAGAAATTCATGCCTAACCAAAGAAAATTCCACACTGCCACCATTTTGGTCTTGCGCACAGAGAGGAACAAATAGCTTGTGGGAACTCTATGAATTAAGTGGAAAACCAGTTTTTTGGCCTGCCTCCCTTGGGCAAATGTCAGTTGCTTTATCAGTTAATTTAAAATTAGTATTTGCCTTGGGGTGCCTGGCTGGCTCAGTTGATAGAACATACACGTCTTGATCTTGGGGTCATAAGCTTGAGCCCCACATTAGGGGTAGATTTTACTTAAATAGATGGGTAGAATTTTCCTGCAGTTCTTCCATGTGCATTTAATTTATAAACAGACTGTCATTGTCATGCCCCTTTGTTGGTTAAAAACCAGTGTTAAAAAAGAAAATTTTCTATTAATTTTGGTTCTATGACATTATAATTAAACCTCAAATCACATATTTTAATTTAAAATAAAAACGAAAGATTTTTTTAGTCACTACTGTAGTGACTGAAATAGTAAAATGTTACTACTTTAGAAGTAAATTTAGTGCTCATTGCCCTTGTTATGTCTAGATTACCTGTTTGGGCTTTAAATTACTCACTCCAATTTATTGTTATAAATAACATCCATGGGAATAATTAGCAAAATCACAACTCCAGATAGAAGAGATTATTATTTTCACACGTTTACGAGTGAGTCCCTTGTTCTTTCACGGTGAATGTTCAATGAACATTTTGATCATTTCAGAGATAGCAAGTCTGCTTTGTTCTACTTTGTTATGAGGTATTTTGGTGCGTCTTCCTTGTGTTATCCATCATCCCTAAGCCTATTGGATTTTTGACAAGTGTTTATAAAACTTTTTTTCTTTTTTTGGTAGGAAAAGGGACCATACTGAATACTAGCCCTTTCTGCAGAGTCACAGAGCTGCCTTTTTTCCTCCAAAAGCAGGTAGTCTGGAATGATAGGAAAGGTCCAGATTTTCTGTATTAGTCATTCACTTAATCTAGGAGATTGGTAAGGGGAAGAGGTTCTGGGAGAGGTATGTTCATTCTTTCTGTTGCCTTTGTTATAATCATAAGGACATAGAGTGGCATGGTAATAATTTTAATATAGACCCTGACATTTCGTTCCTTATTCATACTTAGGAATATAAATTTGATTAAAGAACAGTTTCACCTAAAGTTTGAGAAATGCCACTGTCATTTTGTATCAATAGCTTTTTTTTTTTTTTTGAGGTGACAGCCATCTTGAGTGGTTTTGTAAAAGTGGTGCTAATGTGTATAATCCTAAAGTTTTCTTTTTTCTTCCTCTCCCTTTAACATTTGCTTTTCCTTTCACTGTTGTCAGTCACAACACGCTGCTCTTGAATCTCTCAGCTGGTCTTGACTCGTGAATTTACTTATGCTTTCACTCTTCTTTAATAAATACATTAATTGCAAGCAGTGAATTGAAAACAAGACAAAAAAAAAAACGACCATTAGTGATTGGACAGTTTCTTACTTTGTGTTACATTTAACTGTTCTTTTGACAGCCCAGTTTTTAAAGCCAGGTTCGTATGGAAATGCTTTCACTCCACTTGCACTGCTTTTGGAAATAGCATACTGCTTCATCTGTCTGTTTATTTTAGTGCATTCATAATATAACACAGTCAGCATAATGTCTCATCTCCACTTAGCCAAAGATTGAGTTTTCTTAAATAAAAAAAGGGGCAGCAATTTTTGTCAGCATGGTTTTTAATACCCTAAATCTCTGTGCCAAGTATAGTTATAACAGCTTATTAAAAGATTAAACAATAATTTAGTCAACTACATAATCTTAGAGTCATTCTGCTATCCTTGTCCTTTTCATAGTTACTCACTTGTAGGAGTTATGATATAAAGTAAGGATTTTATGTGCAGATAAATTTATATTTATAGTAAAATAAAGATCTCTTCATTTTTTGCTAACATCACTTATATTAAGACTTTATTTTTTTTAAGTTTTTGTGATGTCTAGTAATATGGAAGTCATCACCTGGGATTACACATAACCATGGCATTTTCAAATTCTTTTAGTTTCTGGCAAAAAATAATTCCTAGTGACCTTTTGTACACCATATTGATTTTGTATCTATATGTTTAAAATAATAGTATCTTGTTTTAGAAACAAAATTTCTTCCTCCTTTTTTTTGAAACTAATTTTCCATTATTGTTTGCCTCTTTTTTTGTTATTAAAAAAGTACCCTGATCTTGGGGCACCTGGGTGGCTCAGCTGTTAAGCTTCTGCCTTCGGCTCAGGTCATGATCCCAGGGTCCTAGGATCGAGCCCCGCAGGGGGCTCCCTGCTCCGCAGGAGGCCTGCTTCTCCCTCTCCCACTCCCCCTGCTTATGTGTTCCCTCTCTCGCTATGTCTCTGTCAAATAAATAAAATCTTAAAAAAAAAAAAAACCCTGATCTCTCCCCCCCGACCTGATCATTGAAATAATCATTTGCTCAGCCGAGTTTTCCCGTTTTCACTTTGCATGTCATAAACTTGTGGAAGGAAATTGTTCCCCCCTCCCCACTTAAACAGAACATTGGGGAGGCTTAATCTTCCTCTTCTAATTTACTGTCTGAAAAGAAAACTAAAATAATTTTTTTCTTCTATAATTCTGAAGAGCATTTTATCATTGAATATGGAGCTAGAAGATAAAAAGCAGTTTAACAGGAGATATTTGATTTTAAATCAACAATTTAGGGCTTTAGCTTTATAGATTGATTCAGGAAATAGATTATTTTCAAATGATGTTATCAGGTTAGTAATGTAAATTACATTTTAATACATAGAGAACACTTTATTTTAAAATGTTTCCCTTTCGATGAGTTTAGCAGCATTTTATCTGATGTAGTTAATGGTTATTTTAGTTTTGTCTACATACTTCACAATATTTGTAAAAAGCAAACGGGACAAAGGTATGCAGAGGTTTCTAAGATCTTGAACCCTTACACAGAAGCTGACATTAATTGTTGTTTCTGGTGCCTTTTCATACAATTTACATTGAAATACCTTTTCTGATATGCTCCTAGGAAGATGAGACATTATGTATATTGGTTTTTTCCCCCTACATGCACTAATGGTTCTTTACTGTTAACTTATTGCTAGGCCTGTTTCATTCTAACATTTTAGCATTTTTGTTAGATTACATGTTGAAATGCATCACTCAGTCTGTGCTTGAGCTCATTTTATTTTTCTGTTTAATCAATTTAATTTCTTGTTTTACTAACCTCACTGTTTTTTCAGTTTAATATTGGCTGCATGCTAGTTAAATATTTATATATTTTATATATATATATATATATTAAAAAAACCAATCAAGTCTAGCCTGGATTTTGCTCTGATTGTGTTTTCATTTCTAGTGGTGGGGCAGTCTTACACTTACAACTTACTTTGTATCATGAAAGCCTGACACATAAACAAAATAACTAAACACAGTGTAGATTTTCTTTAAAAAAAAAATCTTAAAGTGGTGCTGTCTAGGTGGTGGATATGATTGTATAAGTACCTTGATTTTATGCTTTTTAATGTTAGTTTTAAACTTCATAAATGTATTCTTCCCCTTTTCCCCTTCCCTTTTTTCTCCTTTTTAAAGTGTTATGTACAAAAGTTGCCCAGCACACCATCAGAAAGGACCCTTACCCCTATGTTCTTCCCATATAAAATATTGGCCAGCATTTCTTTTTACATTAATGCCCCTTTTGTTGGGCACATTTACCCTATTATTAGCATCTTTTTGCATGCATATATGTAGAATTATCTCTTGCTCATCACCTGTTTAAATGTCACTAGGAAGGGAAGAATATATTATTGGAATATTTTTGGTTTGTCTCTCTGTTCTGTCTGTCAGGATAATATTGGACATCGCTTACTCCAGAAACATGGGTGGAAGCTGGGCCAGGGATTGGGAAAATCTCTTCAGGGTAAGTTTTTTTAAATGTACAAAAAGAAAGAAAGAAAGAAAACAATGTTTTTGATTTGATCTTATGCCTGAATATATATATATATATATTTTTTTTTTAAGTGTTTGGGCTTTTTCCCCTGCCTTTTCTCCCCTAGAACAGTCTATATTTTTCCTATAACTGTATTTTAAGTTACTGTTAAGCTAATAGTTTGCAGGAGTAAGCTGCTGTGTCATGAATACTTTCAGGTCAAACATTGTGTATATATGGCTCCACTGGTTTTAAATTTTTTTGCCGGGGGTTATGGGTGGGTGGAGTAAAAAGAACACATAGTCTCAGAGTGTGCTTTCTTTGTGTCATTTAGTGATGTTGTATTGTGGCTTCAGTATTATAAAGGGAGCCATTCAACAGCAGAATTTAATTTTTGCCTTTCCAAATTCTCCCTGAAGCTGGTGATTGCCCTGGTTCTTTTTCTCTGCAGTCAGAATCCATGTAGTAGTAGAGAGAATTAACCCACACAAAACAAAAAATGGAAGCAGCAGTTTGTTTCCTGTAGTTCTCTGAGCAGAGGTCCATTTCTCAGGTTCAGATCAGGCTCTGGAAAATATGTGGCTTAAAGTTTCCATTGCATTTAATTTTTCTTTTAATTATAGTAATCATTTGGATAAAAACAAAATACTAACATTTCTGCTTTTGAGTTCTTGTTAGTTGGAAACCAACTCCATTCACTTTTTAGCTCCCTCATGTTCACGAGCTACTGTTTATTCTTCACAGATATGAACACTACCTCAGAAATGATGGGAATCATTGCACTTCCACTTCTGGTCATGAGGGGGTCTCATTGTATAAAGGGATCTTTGGGGAGAGGTGTGCTTTTATTGACTGATTCTTTGAATTTTGAAAATAGATTTTCACAATTTGAATGGGAAGTCTAATCAGTTCAAATGTGTGTTAAGGGGCACAGGACAGAGCATAAAGCAGGACATTCTAGTCTTTAAAATCTTTGCTTTTTTTTTGGTAAGATTTTATTTATTTGGGAGAGAGCAGGGGTGGGAAGGAAGAGTAGAGGGAGAGGGACAAGCAGACCCCATCCTGAGCGTGGAGCCTGATGAGGATCTCGATCTCATGACCCTGAGATCATGACCTGAGTTGAAACCAACAGTCAGATGCTCAACTTACTAAGCCACCCAGGCACCCCAAAAACCTTTGCTTTTTAAATTACAATTCTACAAGTTCTAGTCAAATTAGTATTTATTACTAAGCACTAATTTATTTTGGGGGGAGATAGAAAGATTTGATTACCATTAAACTTGTTTTCTCAGTGGCACAAGAACTCATTGCATTTGATACAAAGAATATAATTAAGAGCAAATCTGTTTGAATCCCAGAATTTTTCATTTCTAAGCGTCAGAGACTTTCAAGTACACCTAGCAGAGGTAAAGAGAAAGAGTGAGAGAGAGTGAATAAAGGAGAGGTACTTGAATACTCACTTATTTTTCTGTGATAGAAAATTTTATTTTTTACTTTAAGAAAAGGGGCGCCTGGGTGGCTCAGTCAGTTGGGTGTCTACCTTCCGCTTGGGTCATGATCCCACGATCCTTGGATGGGGCCCCACATCAGGCTCCCTGCTCAGTGGGGAACCTGCTTCTCCTTCTCCCTCTGCCATTACCCCTGCTTTTGCTCTCTGGCTCTCTGTATCAAATAAATAAATAAAATCTTAAAAAAAGAAGAATAGTCTAGAATTTTGGTTGTGTTTTGAACTTTGAGCTCCTTGAAAAGAGGAGGTTTTATTCATATTTTAACTCCCATCTCCATGGTTGCAGGCATATAAGTCCATTATTCATCTAAATTACAAGGGGAATTTGAAGCCCATCTCTTTTTTCTTCTTTTTAATTGCGGTAAAAAACACATAAAATTACCATCTTAACCTTTTTTCCCCCATCTTAGCCATTTTATTATTATTATTATTTAAGATTTTATTTATTTGAGAGAGAGAGACAGTGAGAGAGGGAACACAAGCAGGGGGAGGGGGAGAGGGAGAAGCCGGCTTCTCGCTGAGTGGGGAGCCTGATGCGGGGCTCAATCCCAAGACCCTGGGATCACGACCTGAGCCGAACCCATTTTATTTTTATTTTTTAAAAGATTTTATTTATTTATTTGAGAGGGAGAAAGCACGTGAGCGAGCAAGAGTATAAGAGCAGGGGGAGGGAGAAGCAGACTCCCCGCCTAGCAGGGAGCCCAATGCAAGCCGGATCCCAGGACCCTGAGATCATGACCTGAGCCAAAGGCAGCCACTTAACCAAATGAGCCACCCAGGCACCCCTCATCTTAAACATTTTAAAGTATACGGTTCAGTAGTGTTCACTAAATTCACAATAATTGTGCAAAGCCCATCTGTTTTGAATGGCTGGTACAGTATCTTTACCCTTGAGAAGAATGGAATCTTATTCTATTACCAACATTAAAGGCTGTTTAATTGTCTTGTAAATGGATCTTTAATTTTTTAGTGTTAGATTCAACAGTGTGTGTACTTCTCTTGCATAGTTGTTTCTATAATACCACATGATCTGACCTAGAATGTAACCACATTTATGGCATGTTGAGGTAATTCATGACAGTTTTTTTTTTTTAAAGATTTTATTTATTTATTAGAGAGAGAATGAGAGAGAGCACGAGAGGGAAGAGGGTCAGAGGGAGAAGCAGACTCCCTGCTGAGCAGGGAGCCTGATGCGGGACTCGATCCCGGGACTCCAGGATCATGACCTGAGCCGAAGGCAGTCGCTTAACCGACTGAGCCACCCAGGCGCCCCCATGACAGATTTTTTTTCATTGTACCAAACCTTTGCTACAGATAACCACTGAAGAAAGCCCTGTCAATCTAGTGAAAATGGTAATGCCTTTTTAGTATTGCCTAGACTAGGCACTGCATGTAATTTCCGGGCTCACAGCTTTGTAAATTGTCAGTTCTCCTTTTTAATCTTTAACATAACCATCCACTAAAATTTAAACCTGATCTCTTCAGGATATTTTGTTAACATTTAAAATTTATTTCAACCAGGGGCACCTGGGTGGCTCATTTGGTTAAGTGTCTGGCTTTGGCTCAGGTCATGATCTCAGGGTCCTGAGATGGAGCCCTACTCTGGTTCCCTGCTCAGCAGGGAGTCTGCTTCTCCCTCTTCCCCTGCCCCTCCACCCTATTCCTTCTCTCTCTCTTTCTCTCTCTCAAATAAATAAAATCTTTTAAAAAAATAAAAATTATGTATTATTCATCCAAGGTTTATACAAAGAGTGTCAGGCCTTGGAGGCTACAGTGCAAATATCTTGTCACTGGATAGATTAGGGAATAGGGTATGCTGACTCTAAAATGAGATTTTCTGGCAGGATAGAAAAATTATACTTTATAAATTGGGTTTATTTTTGTACTTGAATTTCCTTTATTCTTACCATTTTTTTCCTCCCTTAGTATTAAGATACTTGAGAAGTTTATTTATTTTTTTTTAAATTTTATTTATTTATTTGACAGAGAGCTAGCAAGAGCAGGGAACACAAGCAGGGGTAGTAGGAGAGGGAGAAGCAGGCCTCCTGGTGAGCAGGGAGCCCAATATGGGGCTCAATCCCAGGACCCTGGGATCATGACCTGAGCCGAAGGCAGACGCTTAATGACTGAGCCCAGGCCCCCAGGATATTTCAGAAGTTAAAAAAGAACTCTTACTGTGTGTGGCAGATAAGTGATTGCTAGTATTTAAAAAAAAGACTTGTAGAACAGATATGTTGACAGGGTGTCTGAAGGGAAAAATACAGAGAAAGGCCTGTTGATGAGAAATATTATGGACAATTGCTTATTATAGAGGCAGAGGATATATTTAATTTGGAATAAAGCAACAATGAATGATAGTTGTATTTTTTGGCAGTTGGACTAGATTTGTTTCTTGAAATTGTTTTATAACCATCTGGCAGCTTTAAAATGGAATGCAGCTCAAAATCTTTATTTTGCTGTGAAATGTTTAGTCGGTAGATATAGTCCAGAAATGGGGTACCTAAACTTCCTTTGTTAAATTGTCTAGGTGCTTTTTGATGATTTGGCTGATTTTTTTTTTTTTTTTTTTAATCACAAGCAAAAGTTCAGCCCCTGAGAAAAATGGATGGGGTGTGATAATTGTTTCATATCTCACCCTGTCTAGGAGGTTCAATCAATAATAGACAACCAACACATATTTACTGAGCTAATAATGCATTCTAGCTATACTGGCTGTAAATAGCATAAGCAAAGGACAAAGTAGGTAAGAAATTGTTCCTGTTCCCCAAGTCTTGCTCTTTTAAACTCTGTAGATCTTTGAAGATTTCTTGAGTTTTATACTTTTATGTACTCTTTCCATGCTTAGAATTAAGTATGTGATCAATCTGAATATTTAACTGACAAATCACTCCCAAGTTCCTTGAGGTAGGGAATCTTGTGTAGTTTGTGTAAAAGTACTTTGTGTAAGATGTGAAGGCAGTGTGAGCAGCATTTTGAAATATAAGATCTAGGTTTGAGTTTGGCTCTGCCACTTTAAGTAAAAGGGACAAGTTACCATCACTGAGTTATTTTTTCAGTCCAGTAAATGGGAATTAAAATCTTCGCTCATTTATTCACAGTGATGGGGTGAAGTAAATTAATAAAAATGGTGAAATCACTTTATAAAAACTATAAAATGCTATGTAAATGCTGATTGCTATTAACACCTCTATAGTATATATTTAGATGTTTTAACTGGATTGGAGATAAGCCATCTGTAGGTCTTTTCCTTTTTTTTACGATTTTATTTATTTATTAGACAGAGAGAGACACAGCAAGAGAGGGAACACAACCAAGGGGAGTGGGAGAGGGAGAAGTAGGCTTCCCACAGAGCAGGGAGCCGATGCGGGGCTCGCTCCTAGGATCCTGGGATCGTGACCTGAGCTGAAGGCAGATGCTCAACGACTGAGCCACCCAGACGCCCCTTAAGACTTTATTTTTAAGTAATCTGTACACCCATCATGGG